TGCTAGTTTTTAAAATAGTGCTGTTTTTAGTAAAAGATGTACTCTATGTTTACTGATGCTCCAAAGCTGTGTCCAATTTCATGGGCGGTAGTAAGAAGACCGAGTGCAAATGAAACTATCGTTCCTTGGCTTAGCATTGTTACAAGTCCCGTATTGTAATGGTTTGAGCATATCCCTCTGCCTTTTCCTACAATCAAGTTATTCACGGAAAATATAACTTCTTTTTAGCGCAATACCGGAATTTCCTACGTAGGCTAACCCAAGAGTTCCTCCCAGGAAGTCTTCGTGTGTGAACAAATAAGCCAAACAGTGATGTCTGAAATTTTTTGAATTAAATTCCTCGAGAACCTGAAATTTTTATATAAAGTAATTCCAGTTTTTCCAATATTAAATTTTCTTTCCTTCTCGATGCTTCTTCTTGAACTCCTGACTGAATTTTTATCTTTCGGAGTCATCCAAATTTCAAAGCCTACAAAGCATTTAACAAAAATTGTTATAGGAGAATAATTGATAGTTCATTAAGTTTTTATCATACGCGCAACCTTTAAAAAACTATAAAACTAATTTCTAGCGGTTCGTACCTTTTGCTTCAATACTTAATTTTTTCTTTGGATCTTTATAAAAATTATTATTTAAGAAGATTTGGTTTACACCGTGAATAATTCTATCCATTTCTGCCACAGTGTCTATTTTTAATAAAAAAAAATAATATTAACTTCGAAGATTAAATATTTTAAAAAGCTGTTACTCTCTATACTCTTCCCTTTTGCTACATAAAAGTCATAATCAGCAACTAAGTAAACTCCGCAGGTATAAACTGTTGAAGTACTTTTATTATTAGAAGCCAAATTCTGTTTCTATAGTGTTGAAAAATAGATTAATTCAGTTCAACATAACAAATTACAAAGTCTACTTAACCTTAATATTAGAGTGAGCCTCAAAACTTCTAAGAGTTATAGGGGCTAAACCTTTAATAGAATTCTATACGTACATATAAATTATTCTAACTTTTAGTAAAATATATGTAAAAACTAGATGAACTTTATTATTATAATTGACATCACTAGCTTTGTATACGATGTGGTGATGAGGCCCATTATCATTAAAAAACTTTTGCTTACTTTCAATAAAATACGTTTCATTTTCTGTGGATATAAAAGCCTTATAAAATTTTTAAAATTTAGTTATTAACAATTCATTAAAAAATTTAATGAAGTTGTTGGGTTCTTAAATATACCTGGAAAACACCTTTTATTATATGCCCGTAAACGTATGAATGCTTGGAACCTTAAGTATTGAATAAATAGAAATAAACGACGTACCACATTTAATTTAATTAGGATGGTTATTTTGTTACGAAAACATTAAAAAACTATAGTTATTTTTTATTGATAAATTAAGTTGATCCTTTTTAACTTTCTAAAAAAAAATTTTTTTAACTTATAATTATCGCATTATAATAAATTTATTGAGAAGAGTAAATTAGTTTATCTTGTCACAATGAAGAAAAACATTTAACTTAAACTTTATCGTATAGAGTGAATACGTAAAGTACATAAAAGCACCACTCAGCAGAGCTAAACTAATTTTTAAGTTACCAGTGGACGAAACGTGTTTACTATTCGTACGTTAAAGCTTTTAAGAAATTTATTTTTTCAATTTTTATATTAATGCTGTGGTCTTATGTTATTGATTAACAACTTTAACTCTTTTTTTAGACTATTGGGTAGGAGGATTTTGCTATTTGGGTAACACTCTCTTTTTTTACGAACACATAGTTACCTTCTAAACAGCCTTCATAAGCGAGAACATTATCTAAATGTTTTTTATAACTCCGTCTACCATTTTTAATTGTGGCAAAGCTACTTGAAAGTTTTTCTGGTTTCAATTTAAGGACTGCTTCTCTACAGTTTTTATATTAATATAACGTTACGACGCTCTAAGTTTGTTTGCAACTTTACCGTTCGTCTATTGGTATGCTTAAATTTAAGCATCGTAATTTTGTAGAGCGGATGTGCCTATTTCTTAGCTCCAAAGGTACATCAAACTTTTTATAAAAAGTATTAAAAACCTTTATTTGAGTGTCCAAATGCTCTATTACGTAGTTTTAAAGCTTTTAACCAAATTACATATAAAAGTAATAATTCTATTATTAAGTTGTTATTGTTATCGTTATATATAGACTTTTCTAACCTGCTGCGATTACTTCCAAAGGAAGTAAGTAAAAATTTACATATTTCCCATTTAGAAATAAAAGCCACAATATATAATTATTAATAAACATTTTTTTTGCAGGACCGAAAATTCTATGTAAGCATAACAATCTTTTTAATAAATTTTTCTACTACAGAGCCTTATCCTGTTTTTATGTGTTCTTAAACAGGAATAATCAGAGACATTTTCAACTCTTCCTAACGTGATTTAATGACGTTAATAATTTATCTCTTAGTTTCAACATTTTGCTTATTTAGGTGAACCTTGGCATTTGTCTTCTGAGAGGCTAAGGATATTTTGTTAACCGACAGTCATATTAAATTAAAATGGAGAAAGAGAAGGAAACAACTCTATTGCACGTCGTTACCCTAAAAGTCAATCGCCATTCTAAAAGAAAGCCATACACAACCAAGTTACCTTTAAGACTCCAATTCAAAAGAGTTAAATAATAGAAATGTCCAAAAAAATTATTGAAAACTTATATAATGGAGCTTTAAATACAAAAAAATATTGAATTTAAGTTTTATTTAAACTATTAAACATCGTGATGATCAAACTTAAGATATTTTAATAAACTAGATAATAGAACCCCAAAGAACTTGTGGAAAACTTTTAGATATATACTCAAGTTAACTGTAAACTTCTGGGGAAAAAATGAATTTGCCCGAAAAATGGAGCTGTTATATTAATATTAAAGTTAAAAATAAATAGTATAAATACTAAGAAATTGAGTTACCAGTAGGTATAGAAGTATAAAAAAATTTTTTAAGACAGCATTAATATATTATATTTTACTACTTTTTAAAATTTATTTATAAATTAAGTTAAATATACTGATAATCTCGCATTCATTGTTAATAACCAGATTAGTTATTTTTTGCTTGACCTTTGAGTTGTTTTAAATTTTAAGGCTTTGAAGTAAAAGTTAGGGGTATTATAATAGAAAATTTTTAATTAAGATATGCACAAAAACTAATGTATTTATTTCATATTAATGCAATTAGTTTTTTAATTATGTTTGTTTTATTAGTGCGGGTCAAATAACTTTCTTTTTTTTGATAAAAAAAAGTATAGGTAGTTAGAAATTGCCAAATAACATATAATAAGATAACTTTCTATAATAAAATATTCCACAAAACTGACTCCATAAAAGTTTAAATAAATTTCCTTTAAGGTAAGCTAGTTACCTTCTTGAGAGAGTTTAGCCCATTTTAGATAAATCTGTTATTAACTAAAAACTAACACAACAAAATATTTTATAGTTTTTTTTGTAAAATAGTTTCTCTTAACATCTTCATAACTAAAGTTTTAGAGGGTGGGAAAAATATGTGGTGACATTGCTTTGCTGCACTAACAAGTTTTAAAGCGTAGATTACTCACTTTTTCTTGTGTACTCCGAGTATTCTGCGTTCTAATTTTTGTCAGTTTAAGTTACTTAAAAAAGGTTAATAAGATGCTTAAATTTATTTACTGAAGTGTTTCTTTTTTTTGTGAAGACGGTGTTTAAGGCTCGTATAATTAAAGTAATCCGGCGAAATAAAAAAAGAATGGAAAAGTTTTAGCATTCGATTAACCCTTCTTTTAACAAAATTTTATTTTTAAATTTAAAAGTTATTAACATCAAAACTAGTAGAGCATAGAAATATATATATAATATAAATAACTCAAAGAACTAAAGAATTTTAATTTTATTTTACAATTTCTTATTCTCACGAGAGCCAGTCCAGAGCATGAAATAATATCATGCATACATAAATCGCAGTGTTACCTCTAGTTGTATAATCCTCTTAGTGTACAACGCTTTATTGAGTTTATTAGCAGAGCATAAAGAGATTTGAGTAATTATAATATATGATATATTTTTTATTTATAAGGAAATTTTTTTAGAAAGGACGAAGTTTTAGATTAATTTACTTTTTTAATTCTACTAATATCGATAACTCGAAATTGATTTTACAAAGAAAGGTTTGTATGCGCGTTTGGAAGTGTCTTTTTATAATATAATTTTGAGTTTTCAAAGAATTTTTTTTTGGGCTAAACAGTGACATTACCTTTTTTTAAAAAATATTAGCATACTATAATAATTATTCGATTTTATAATTGCAAAGAAGTATTTGAATTGATCGATGGGAAAATAAGCTTTGCTCTAGCGAGTTTAAGCATAAATTTAGGAACTCATTACAATATTGTGTTTCTTTATACCTTACCAGTTTGACTTTATATTCTTTTAATAATGGTAAGGAATTTAAAAAGCTTATGACCTAATTTATTTACGTGAGAAAGCTTTATTCTTAAATTTTTTCTATAAAAGTGATAATATACTGTATACTGTATTGCCATTGCACATAAAACCGCAGCACTAGTATTGATTAAATTTTGTTGCACGAATTATTGTAAAGACTGTGAGAATTATTAATATATTAAAAAATTTTGTGTTGTAAAGAAGTGGGACCTTTGTTTTTTTTAATTCCGTTAGTTTTAGTGCTATAATTGTAGAACTTTAACAATAAATTATCTGCTTCGGCGTTCTACAACTTATTGTATGTATTCTTAACTTCCATATTAATAACTGACCAAGATTTTTTTATGGTAACTATAATGAAAGTTTGAGATAAAAACCTTATTACGACAATTTAAAAATCAGTTATGCACTCTATTTTTAAAACATTAAAAGATATACTTGTTTTTCAAATACTAAGAAAATTTTGTATTAAATAAGAATAATAATAATAAATTTATAGTTTTTATTTAGATCAAAAAATTGTAGTTTAATAAACAAGAAGATTAGTTCATTGTATGTTTTGCTAATAATATCAGTAGTTTTGCAATAAGAAAACATACGGCAACATTCAACCTATATAAGATTGGATGGATTATACAGTCATATCATATTTTTAATAATAAAAGCTTAAGAAAATTTTTTTGAGTTAAAAAAATATAATTTTTTAAGAGACTAAAAGTAGTAACAAAGGCCTAATCAATACTTACAGTATATTATGAACAGACCATCTCAAGTTTTTGGTATCGTTTCCTGTTCTTTGATAAGAATTAGTTACTTTGAATTTCTAAAGTTTAACTAAAACTTTAAACAAAAACAAAAATTTATCTTTTAAAAAAATCAATTTCCTACTTATTAACTTGATCGTAACCATTTAGTATAATTATTACTGTTACAATATTAAAAATTTAACTAAAAAAATGAATTCTTGCCACTACTATTAAACAGCCGTAGTGAAGAAGTAATGCTAAACGCTACAATGAAAAATAGATAATAAACCAAAATCTCTACTTAAGATCTTTGCTAAAGAATCAAACCTTTTTAGTAAGTTAGTTATCACAATAAAGAAAGCTACAACCTTATTTAGATTTAAAACTTCTCTTTTTACTTCAAAAGTTATCAATTTTAAAAAATAATTTTAATGTTTACAGTTTGCCAGCAGTATTGTAAACCATAACTGTTTTTTTCAAATTCCGCTCCACCAATTCAAGTTCTTTACACTAAAAAAAGGGAGATGCTAAAATGACAAATAAATTTTCCTATATATATATATGTTCAAACTGTTTTATTTATATTGTTTAATTTATTAACAATTTCTTGAGGAAGTCTTAATATACGGTTTTTTCGTAATTGCCTCCTGAAAGTTAAAAAACTTTTTATAAACTATATAACAAGCAAGCTTTCGACAGTACGAAATTATAACGTGAAAGATAGAATCAAATTAAAAAGTTACAGTTCCATATTTTGTAATTCAAAAGCAATGTTTATATCAGATAAGTAAGATTTAATTTGAGTTAAATTTTCTTCCTTAAACCGAAAAGTTAATTTTAAAATAAAAATTTATAATCATTAAAAACTAAATTTGCTTTTAAAATTATTAATAAAACACACCATTTTAGCGATCTGTTATGCCCAGTCTTCCTTTGAGCAAGTCTACATATCACTTATGGGGTTAACTAGTCGTACCTCTCAAGGCTTAAAAACTTAAAAGAAATGAAACTATGGTGCCTGATGCATACAGAAATGTTGTACAAGGTTTTGGTAAACTTTTGTCGTGTAGTAAAAGGTATATAGATTTATTTAACTTAAAAAACTTCGGTTAATCAACAAAACTTACATAAAATGAAACTATGATGCTTGAAGCTTACAGAAACGTTGTACAAAGTTTTGCTAAACCAGCAAAACTCAAGTTATAGATAGCATTAATAAATTATATCATTAAAACAATTCAGTTAACAATTATATAGCAGCAATTACCTTCAACGTTATAGATTCACAGGTTAAAGATTTATATAAAATTATTATCAAATAAATATATACTTATGAGTAAAAAGGTAAAAATAAACTTTTTCCAGTTTTTTTTTAATTGGAGTTTATACAATAAAATTTATAATAAGTCTGGTTATATAATAGACTTACAAACATATAATATTTACCCAGAAAAAATCGGTAGTTAACTAAACTAATTATTAGTGTTAGACTGTCTGAACAACGAAGATCTCTGAACCTCCCATTCGTATTGAAGCTGCTTAGTATTGACATAATTTTTTGTTGTTAAAATTATTAAGGTACATGTTTTCGATCAATATTTTATACAGTTAACCCAATCGCATTAAAAAAATAACTGATAAATATTGCTGGTATAAATGTTACTAAAACGCTTTATTAATTTAAAGGTAAGAGAAAAAGAAAAGAAATGGTAGTTCTAATGGTTCGGCGGGGGCTGTACGGGGAATACGTTTAAGCTTGCAAAATACAACGTGCGGAAAAGAAATTAAGAAAACATGAACATTTCTGTTTTTAAAAAAAAAAACTAAACTCCGAAAACGTTTTCTTTTCTTGCTATGGAAAGTTAAGGTTAGAAAAAAATTTGATATGTGCATTGGATCTTCACAGGGTTTCACCGTTCCCGACGTGCAAAATTACCTTATCTGCTAGCGATGACGTTTAATTTAATTGACCATGGCTTCGAAACATGCCGAAGTCATAGTATCATACACATCGCTGATGGAAAGGTAATTAAATCACCTTTTAGGAGCAAGCAACCACAGCCTGGAAGTTTGATAATAGGTTTATAAAATAGACAAACATTTACCATTATACCCTTTGCATAATATTAATTAATGACCAAATGCGACGTAGGTAAAGTAAATGTATTCCGGTATACCACTTACCAGCTAAAATGCAAATAAGTTTCTTGTGAAGAGAGTTTTATTCTTCATTAAAGCGGGCGAGCCTTTATACTGACCACCACTTTTAATATATAAGGGTACATCAAAGCTTTTTTATGAAGGACCAAAGAACAAGTACTAACGACATTACTGCAATACGGCTGAAGCAAACTTTGTTAGTAGTGTTGTAAAATTTTGCTACCTTGTTAGCTTGACCATTACACTCAGAAAGTCGTGTTGCTGAAGACATTATGTGCAGGTTCTCTAGAATCTCCCATTTTGATTACAATATGGGCACACACTGACTCAGCTGTTCCTTCATCTGACTGAGTGAGTGACTTGCACCTTCATTATTGACGTAGAGAAAAATTTTTATAGAGTATAATAAGAAATTTTGCCTTTCAAACTGCGTTATATAGCCTTCTCTTGCGTAATATATATACCACTTGCCCAAAGTTTTACTTTTAATTTCTGGGCCTTTATGCGTTTGCAAGAATTATTTCTCTCAATATTTGCTTGTTTATGGCCAACGTGTGTTGAAACCTGCCAAGCCTCGTTTTGCTCTGCTTAATATGTAGATGATACAGCAGTAACCCACCATTAGACAACGCTCCATCACTTGCAAGCATTTACAAGGCTATCTAGTCAAACGTGTAAATTAATGACGTTTAAGAAAAAGATACTACCAACTTAGCAAAGGGCAGCACTTTTTAATAACAAGTACGTTTTTCCTAGACTGTATACGCGGGGTCACCTTCGACAGTAGCTTGTTGTGGCGCCTACGATGGTCAAGAAGTACCCATATTCTTGGACGCGGCTAGCCCGTTTTCCTCGTTTGCTACGAAACGCTGTTTTACATTGAACCCTCCCGCTAGGGCCTCTAAGTAATACCATCTCTTCCAAACGATTGATTTATGTAAAATTGAAACCAAAAAAATATATATATATTACTATAACTTGTGGTAAATTTTGGATTATTAGCTACCAAATTCGATTTACATTATAATAATTATACATGTTTGCAAAAATAATTTTTTTAAAGCTGCACGGAATATTTTGGTAAATATTATGTTTTCTAGGATGCTAAACCCAAAAATGACCTCCATTTCCCCCTATTACACAGATTTTTGCAAAATTATAGGGTCTTACAATTAAAATCGTAACCGCAAAAAAAAAAAAACCATTAGTTTTATTACATTAAACTAAATATATTATTTCTCATAACTAAACAAATAATTCCATCATGATATATATAACGTTCTGTGTTCACTTCTTTTTCTTCTACTTTTTGAGCTCCTTCGAGCATTCTTTCGCTTTCTACCCTCACCCTCTCCCTATACCCTAGACTTGATTCCAGCAAAATTCGGTTGCATCTTTCAAAAGGCCTCAATCTCTAAGTCATTGAGCTCGATCAGAAAAAAAGGTTGGCCCCCTCATCAACAAAGAAATCTGAGCTGGAATCATGTTGAGGTGTAAATATAGTAGTATCCTCCGAATCTCTGTGCCATCCAAACTGGGAGATGGGAGGGGGTACTATTGTATTAGAACTATAAGGCACTGGACAAATAGCTAAATTAAGGTTAGCGTTATAATGTCTCCTTTTTATTTTTGTACTACAGCTTTTCATATCTATCGAAAAGAAATAACTCTCAGTCCTGTGGTTTTCCGTTTTCGCAACATCATTGGAATTCCCTTAAACTACAAACGAAGATCTTCCTCGCACCTTCTGTCTTCTAACTATGTATATACCATTAAACAAGTTAAAGTTTCTTTAGAGAAGTAAACACAAACTTTTAGAGCCGTAACATAGAGCTAAAACACATGCATAATTACGTTTGTAGGCAGGAGGTAAACTGGGTGGCTTAAACATCAATTAAGACACTGAATTATTTAGCATGTTGAGACATAATAATATCCCCAAGCCCACGTCCAAATATGCTCCACCGAGCTAAGTAGGATTTCTTCGCTACAAACAAAGTAAACGTGTTAAGAATGATCGCCTGAGCGCCTCACGCCACAAACCCGCCTTACCAACTCCTTCCTTACTATGGCATTAGCATGCGTCCCTATCATCAATTTCATTGGATATTATTGTTATATCCACCATTGCATGAAAATTTTATGGTTCGAGTTTTAGCGCTTAAAAAGATATTTAAGGCTCCCAAAATTAAGCTGATTCTGATACTTTAAGTAAAGAGTTTATCGCATATTTTCTCTTTAAGTTACTTATGTTTCTATTTCCAACTTCTAAGTTCTGTTTCTTCCTACGGTCTTTTCTTAAATTCTATTCCGCTCGTGCACAGCTTTGATATAGTTGGCTTTAGCTTCACTCTTGCTCTGAGATTTTATGTTTGTTAACTATTATTGTTTAAGGTTAATTAGGTTACTTTTTGTTTTTTTCTCCCTACTATATATTTTTACTCCTATAAGTTCACCATGGGCGCTTATTATCGTCAGAGAGCTCATGATCCCCAGAATCATAACACTCTCCCTTTATCATCCCACCCATTTTCTATTTATATTATTATTTAGATTGACTTTCATTAATATTATATTAAGATAAGACAATTGTTAAAATATGATTTTTTAGAAATAATAAGATACCAGCTTTCATGTTGAAGAGAAATTTCACTCAAAAGATTAAACCAAAGATACGGATTTTTCAATAAAAATTGACATGATGGAATTTTTATAATTTTTTTTTCCGGTTTTATTGATTAAAAAACATCTTTAAAAAGCAGGAAAATTTTTTATGTGGTTTTTTTTTTGTTGCAGGCCTGTGTTTGGCAGACCAATCGCCTGTTAGTAGCTTCTCATCAACAAATAATGCAATTACACTCTCTATAGCCGCAAAGGTTAAGGTGTGGAAGTAATGTTTTCATGAACAAAAAATGTTAGTGTCAGCAAATATAAAAATTATCTCAACTATGCTAAAGTTCATTTATTTTCATCATTAGACGAAATTTTATTATGGTAAGTTTAATGAAAAAGGTTGCCAAGCACATTTTAAAGATACGGGGTATAAGGAAAAACAATACAATATAATTATTGAACATGCAAAAGGCGACGTTTTAAGTCGATAACAATGTTCATAAATTCACTATATATTAATATTTGGAGAAATATGTATTTCATTATTTCTTAAATAAAATTCAAACTGTTAAAATATGCTTAGAATATATATAAAAAAAAAATTAGTAAGTAAGTGTAAGGCACAGTAATTAACTACCCGACCTGTAATACTCTACGGTATATGCTGAGTAAAGGAGAAGTGTAAAGCTTTTTTATTACATTAAAACATTCTGCGACTATACTTATAG